ATCTTCATTTTCTTCATTTTCATTACTGAGGACAAGACTTCATTTCAGCTCTGCAAGTTCAACTGGCAAGCAGCTGGTGAAAGAAGCATTCTTGTTCTCTCCCCGGTGCTGGTAATGTGCTGCACTCTTGACAATATCTAATAAACCAGTTAAGCAAGAAAAACATCAGACAACTAATTTAGGAAGAAAAATGGTTATTTTTGTAGGTTAGCTTTACAAATTGGCTCTATCAAAGATCAGATGAGACAGAGTGGAAACAGTCTTTCTGGCGGAGGGTAACTATTTGATTGTGAGGCCTCACCTGGAGTCGTGACAAGCTTATTTCCTAGAGAGCAGGAAAAATAATAAATTATAGATTTGTCTGGGCCAGTTGGAAGATTAGAAGGGGAAATGGATTTTAACATCTAACATGCTTTACTGAAGGAGGGATGATTCCTGAGGATAGAGTCCTACAGTGAAGAGGTATTCTCTGATGAATATAACATGAGACATAAAGCTAGCATTAAGAAAGGAATCCAGAAGACTGACCTGTCTGCTAAAGAGCGAGCTGGCTCATTCAGGGAGTGCTTTAAAATGTAAGGCAGTTTAAAGTGTTTTATTTGGTTTTTTTTTTTCTGCCATATCTTTTCAACTTATTTGTCATATGTTATATATATTTTTATGTTGCATTTATTGGCATTTCACCCAAACTGATATCAAGTTAAGTATCATTTTAAAGTTACCAGATTTTAACACCATTTAACTCACCCACTTTTTGGAAGTCTATAATCTGAGATAACCATGAACCTTACTTGCCCGTTCAAAAGACAGTTCTAATGGAGCTGCACAGGTTACATGGAAGATTCCATGGTAACACTCAGGCACTGTGACTTAAAGAGATGTACTAGGTGGATATTTCCACCAGAATGCATTTTAATAAGCTTTAAGATTTCTAGTGATCCAGCCACATTTCAAAAGTTATTCACCTGTTTATTTAATTTCCTCTACAAAATTTTGATACATTAGCTTTGTATTGACAGGTTTTCTGCAATTGGTCTTTCTTTAGGCAGCATAGAACACGAATAAAACCACAAATCTGCAAAGACTATTTGAGGCTCTGGTAGAAGTGTGGCTGTGTCTAGACCAGGGTGGGTCTATGGTTGGATGGCTTGACATCAGTTGTTATGAAACTGAAATTGCCACTGGTATGTCCTGTCCTGAGTGTGCAAGCTATGGTAGCTATGGTAGCTATGGTAGGGGAAGGAAAAGGGAAAGGGAAAGGAAAAGGGAAAGGAAAAGGGAAAGGGAAAGGGAAAGGGAAAGGGAAAGGGAAAGGGAAAGGGAAAGGGAAAGGGAAAGGGAAAGGGAAAGGGAAAGGGAAAGGGAAAGGGAAAGGGAAAGGGAAAGGGAGGGAAAAAGGGGAGATTTTAAGACCTTGTCATTCAAGAAATGCAAAATCTGTAACAGTTGTACAGTATACTGTATTACCTTCAACTCTGTGGTGCAGGAATATACTTTTGCCTTCTGGTCAAATAGAGGGTAGTTAGGTTTCCAAAACAAAGCTCGTAATTTTGATACAGTGAATCTAAAATATTTAGAACTTTCAAAATACTGAAGATCACTGAAAAGCTGAAGGAAAATGTGAAAAAACACAGACTTCCAAATGAGATTCTCAGCAGCGTTTTGGTCAGTAATAGTTGAGTTACTATTTAAGATTCTACCTTTAGATCTGTGATTCAAAATTAATTTAGGCTGCATATCTTTCTGTTATTGTAGATGACATTATGAACAGTATTTTTGCTTCAATTTTTATTCTATAAAAGTGTAATGATGCATCACTTCATTATGGCATTGTTTAGCCTATACTTTATTCCCTTCACTTGAAAGTTACCACAATTTCTCCTTTGATTACTTAAATTGTTTTTTGTTTGCCAGACTGTAATAGAAAAGCATAATAGAGCTTGCAGACATCCTTTTACTGCATATGGAAAACCACAATACATCTGGTGTAATTAGTGCTGGAGATGCACTACTTTTCTTTCTACTTCTTATTTACTGTTTTGTACTATGATGTTTTAAAGTCTCTGAACCTTAGTTTTTACTTCATTAAAACTGGAAAGAATGTTCAGCAATATCAATTCCGTACTTTTTACAGAGATCTACAGGCGAAATCAAATAATCAGACTAATTTGAGTTATAAGTACTGATTTTCCTGGGGTTTTTGTTGGGTAAGTCATAATAACCTTATTATGCTGGTTTTAATTGATATATCATTATTGCAGTAGTCAATTGTAAAGAAAGGAGAGATAGTGAACTTCACAAAATGACAACTGTTAAATATTACTTTATTATTATTATTATTATTATTATTATTATTATTATTATTATTATTATTATACAAGTGATACTGCAAAAGTTTCCCCTGATCCTCTTGCACATAGATGGCATCTGATGATGATAACAAAGTGTCAGACATGGTATAAATGACAAAAATAAATATTTTCCCATGATTTTTCCCGGCTTCAGGCTTGATTCACTTTCCCTCTCCTTCAGCTATTGACAGCAAAAAGGAGTAACCTCAGTGCTCATGTAGCTGCAGAACAGATAGACAGATTTACTAAGGTTAGTACTAAAGTGGGAAAAGGGTACCAAGTCATGAGAGGAGAGAATTCAGGCAGAGAACTGGATTGTAAGAAACAAACATACCGGTAATATTAATAAAGACTTCTTGTGAAGAGGGAAAGGATTTGTAAGGAGGAGGAGAAAAAAGACTGGGAGTATAAGGACAGGAAAGATGACTGGAAGAAAAATGCGATGTGAGGAGGGGAAGCTTATTAAAGATGTGAAGCATTTTATTTCAGTTTCAGTCATATCTTATCAGTCATATCTCATTCTTATATGTTATGCCAATCCACCTCTCTTTTTATCCTCTTTACTGTTAATATGAATTTATCATGATATTTGTCTCTTCTAATGCTATGCTCTATCAAAAACTCCTAACCTCACCCATTGTCTTATCACTTTATTTCTTTGAGGTAAATGAAGAGAAAGTTGGTCTAATCATTACTATTGTTATTATTCCTACTTTGACAACAAATAGGATCAATTCACATTTGCACTTGGTATTCATTTATATCAGAAGCCCACAGAGGCTGCATCATACAAATTTAATTGGATCTCACAGAATCACAGAATCAATGAGGTCACCCTGCAGCCTTCTTTTCTCCAGGCTGAACAAGCCCAGCTCCCTCAGCCTGTCTTCATAGGGCAGGTGCTCCAGTCCCCTGATCATCTTTGTGGCTCTCCTCTGGACCCCCTCCAACAGCTCCCTGTCTTTTTTGTACTGTGGGCTCCACACTTGGACGCAGTACTTCAGATGGAGCCTCACAAAAGCAGAGGAGAGGGCAGCAATCACCTCACTGTCCCTGATGGCTACCCCTCTTCTGATGGAGCCCAGGGTACCATTTCCTTCCAGAGCTGCAAGGGCACACTGCTGGCTCATGTTAAGTTTTTCATCTCTCAAGACCCCCACGTCCTTCTCTGCAGGGCTGCTCTCAAGGATCGCTCCTTCCAGTCTGTATAAATGCCTGGGATTCCTCTGGCCCAAGTGCAAAACTCTGCACTTTGCCTCATCAGGTTCACCTGGGTCCACCTTTCCAGCCTCCGAATGGCATCCCTTCCTTCCACTGTGTCAACCACACCACTCAGCTTGGTGTCGTCAGCAAACTTGCTGAGGGTGCACTCGATTCCATCATCGATGTCATTGATAAAGATGTTAAAGAGCACCGGTCCCAACACAGACCCCTGGGGGATGCTGCTTGTTACCAGCCTCCACCTGGACACAGAGCCATTGATGACCACCCTCTGTCTGTGGCCTTTCAACCAGTTTCTTATCCATCAAGTGTTCCACCCATCAAATCCACATCCCTCCAATTTGGAGATAAGGATGCAGTGGGGGTCCATGTTAAAGGCCTTGCTCAAGTCCAGCTAAATGATGTCAGTCGCCTTTCCCTTGTCCACCATTGCCATCACTCCATCATAGAAGGCCACCAGATTGGTCAGACATGACCTTCCCCTGGTGAAGCTGTGCTGGCTGTCTCAGATCACACACTCATTCCACATGTGATCAAGCATGTCATCCAGGAGGATCTGTTTCATGATCTTTGCAGGCACAGAAGTGAGACTCACCGGCCTGTAGCTCCCACGGTCCTCCTTGCTCCCTTTCTTGTAAATTTGAGTGATGTGACCCTTCCTACAGTCATCCAGGACCTCACCTGACAGCCAAGACTTTTCAAATATGATGGAGAGCGGCTCAGCAATCACCTCAGCCAGCTCCTTCAGAACCCTGGGATGATGCCATCCGGCCCCATAGACTTGTGCACACTCAGTCTCATGAGGCAGTCTCACACCTGCTCTGCCCTCACAGCAGGGGGGGATTTACTACCCCAGTCCCCACCTGGAGGTTTAGGGATGCAGGGCTCAGGGATATGAGAAGTATTGGAATCCTGGCTGCCAGTGAAGACCTAGGCAAAGAACTCATTCAGTACCTCAGCCTTCTCTTTGTCCGTTGAAGCCAGTTCTCCTTTTACATTTAACAAAGGAGGCACGCTTGCTTTGTCCTGTCTCTTCTGGCCAATGTACCTGTAGAAAGTCTTCCTATTGTTTTTCACGTCCCTCGCCAAGTTCAGTTCCACCTGCACCTTGGCTTTCCTGATCCCATGTCTGCAAGTCTGGACAGCATCCCTGTATTCCTCCCAGGTGGAACACCCAATGACATCTCCTGTACTGCAGTGTTATAAAAGGTGTTGTCCTCCTCTGACAGTGATGAAATTTTGAAAGACTTTTCCAGTGTTTGCTATTTGTGTCTGATAAATGTTTCAGTATGCAAAATGATTGCAGAATCATCTCTCCAACTTACATAAAATACTATTGGATTTTTCCATTTGGAAAGCAGAAATTTAGGATCACTGTTTCATCTCTCTGTCTACCTTTTTTTTCTTTTTTTTCTTTTTTTTTTCCAGATATTCAACTGCCAAAGGAAGATGAGATTTCAGTTCCTGTGACTTCCAGCTCCCCAGTTAAGAACACTGGGGACAATACTGATCATGCCATTGAACAGGAAGAGAAGATGAAGGAGGAACATTTAACCATCTCAGAACTGGTATACAATCCCAGTGCCAGCTTGCTGCCCACCCCAGTTGATGACGAGATTGACATGCTCTTTGATACATGTCCAAGAGCAGAGAATGAGAAAGATGATACAGATTCATTTGAGGAACTGGAAGCAGATGAAAATGCTTTTATGATTGCAGAAGAAGAAGAGTTGAAAGAAGCTCGAAGAGCGCTTAGTTGGAGCTATGACTTTCTAGTGGGCAACATAGAGGTGAATGCTTTTGTGAAGAGTTTCTCCAGACTTCTCCTTGTAGGCCTTGGACTGTTGTTGCTTGTGTTTCCTCTTCTCCTTGTTCTCTTGGAGTCAGACCTTCAGATCTCTTTTCTCCACGAAATCCGTCAGACACCAGAGTTTCAGCAATTTCATATTGAATATTACTGCCCACTTAGGCAGTGGGTGGCTTGCAAAGTAAACTTCATTTATGATATGCTGGGCAGCTTTTAAATTTTTAAGAAATAATCATACTACTAAGGGCTATATTCAAAATTTCAGTTTGTGACAGCTTTCCATAACACCCCTGGGGCCATCAGTAGGTAGCTGTCTTCGTATTCATTTACTATCATACTTTTTAGGATCTTAAGTTTCCATTGCCCACTTAAATTGCTCCTTTAGTTACAGGCTTATACATTCACCTTTCAGTAACTTAAAAGAACCTTTTAATTGCATTCATTTTTTCTGCTCACTTATTACATCATACAAGATGGAGTAATTATAAGTTAATATCACCCTTAATTGTAGAATCCATTACATTAAATATAATGAAACTGAAAGAAAAACCTTTTTGAATATACTCCTTAGTGCAGCAATCTCTTCTAACCAATGCCTATGCCTATACACGCAATGTTTATGCTGGGTTTTTGGTTTTGATTTTTTTTTTTTTTCTGTTTGTTTTTTTTACAATTTTATGTGTTTAAAATATTTTGGTAAATTTTTAGCAAAAGATAACTTCTGATGTTATTTAAATGTACAGATTAGTAAGAGTAATGCACAAGAACATGAAGTTTATTTTTAATGTTTTAGCAATGATTTGTTTTTGAACTACGGCTGGAGAATGAATGAGATTGAAATAGCTCTATAGGAGAGACAGCAGTTTGGGAAACACATAGAAAGTTCACTCAGGTTCAGTAGGGGCTGCCTGGGGGAGATTAAACGACGCCAAGTTTTCAGAAGAATTTCTGAAAGGCATCGTTGTAAAGCTTAGGAGGAGAGCAGAATTGAAAATAATGATCCTTCCTGTTATGTCAGTTTGTCTTACGATTTATCAGTGCTTTAGAAAGTCTCCATACAATAGTCCAAGTATGTTTTGGAAGAGAGTGAGTCTTCAGTCTAAATGTAGATTATTGTACATAACATGGAGGAAGACAATAGTAAGTAGGGAAAAAAAGAAAAAAAAAAAGAAAAACAGCCAAAACCCTACCTAAATCAGTAGATGCGTGACCTACTTTTAAAAATGATAGAGAAGAAACATATATGCATTTTAAAAAGCAAAGCTTTAGACTGTACAGTTGACCTGAAAGTATTCTACTGACTCACAGTTAAAGGATTAAATGCTTTATGAGATGCAACTTTATCCTTGATGCCCTCTATTACTAATCTCTGAGACAACATATTTTCTGTGTGTACTGATACGCTTCCTTTTACATATAGCAGCATACCTACCCTCTTTCCCTATTAGTATAAGCCCAGTTGCAGGACTTAATGCTGTTTCATGTAAGATGAATTTGTATATCTAGTTATTCCAGTATTGCTTACAGAACATACTTCAGTAAAATCTTGTCAATCACTGAGAGCATCTGAAGGCCCTCAGATGTAGCAGAGAGGTTCTATCTAAGAAGAGAAAGCTTTTATTGTTTTTTTTTCCCCTGATTGCAGAGCAGATGTATTTCATCTTTAAAGTTGAGGGAACTCTGATTTCAACCTCAGAGTCTTTCTCTTGCTTAGAGATTTACAAACAGAAGGCATATGTGAGACTGTTTTATTAAGATATACATTTTAATATATTGCAATCACAGCTCTTAATTCCTACGAAATAAACTCCTGTATTTTTGATGTCAGAGAATTGGCTTGGCTTTCTCATTCAAGCCTTTACAAGTGTCTAGTTTGAAAGTGGCGATTTCCTTACAAAATTTCTCCTTTCCTTTCTAAACTTCTCCAGTTTTTAAAGGATTAGACAGTTACAGGATTCAGGAATTCCTTTTCTCAGTGGAAAGCTTTCTGATTGCTATTAATTGCTCAAGCAACAAAGGCTAAAGTGAACTGCCTTTTTCTCTTGACTTCTTCCCTGACAATCTGCTCCACAGAAGAATCATTATTGATTAGTTACGTGATAAGGATTTCATCTTGTGCTATTGTAGCTAAATGATCCTTTCCTATGAGGTATAATAATCATTCAGCCTAGTAGAAATGGAGAGTAAACTAAAGTAGATATTGGGTCTTAGCAGGAAATAATTTATTGATGCTGTTTTGAAAAAACGGTGTCAGAAAAGGTGTTGTGTGTGGTAAAAACTGTGAAAGCTGGTGTCCTGCTGGGCTACAGAGACAAGATTCCATGCAGGCTCCTGTTTAAGTCTGACAATTGCATTTAAACAAAAAATAAATAAAATCTTATGCTCTAAAATATAATCTTGTCCCTGTAAACTATAGCACACAACAAGTGGGAGTATTGTTTTGCTTGATTTAACTCTATCAGAAAATGATCGAGTTGCATGAGAAAGTAATCTCAGAGAATGTGCAGTGTAGTGAGGTCTTACGTAGGGTTAAACGCGAAAGTATACAGGCACATGTACTGACCTTTGCCACCTCTGTGCATACATCCAGCCCTGGCCTTCTAAAAATCTTCCTTTTCTTTCTATTATTCTCTAGACCATCAGCATAATTCAAATGAAAGTCAGAAGTCTTCTAATGTTAAAGGCCAGGAACACCTAATGTGCTCAGAAGCATATAGTGGGGATACTCAGACAGAGTAGCAGTATAGTATTTAATTGGTGAGGATGACAGTTGGATCACAGAGTATCTATAGGTACGGTATTGTGCATTTCTGTCTGTGCTTGGGTTATATTGTAAAATGTTACGTACTTGAAATCTATTTTGTGGTTTGTCTAACATTTATAAACACAACTCTGGGAAGAATTAAATATGGTTTTATTTCATTGGAGACTGGGGGGATAATATATCTGTAACTCGAGCCTTATCTTTGTACAGTGAATTTCACATTTCTATGTCAACATCCTGATTGTTTTGTATGTTGATATGATGGCAGGAATCCCTAATAAAAATACACTGGAGAAAAACTTTCTGCAGTTATGACAGTTTTTATGATGAAACGTGTTTCGCCTAAAACACTCTTTGTTGAGAATTATTTGGTGTAAGAAATAGTACCATTTTTTTAGTACTGTAACAAATTCCTTCCTTACATGTATTTTTTTCACCCGCTAGCTACAGAAACACTGAGAAATTGATGGCCTTTAAGTCATTAGTAACGTGGCTTCTAATGCACTAAGCATAGACCTGATGTTTTGCTCAGTTACCATGTCAGTGCTAGTTATAGATTTGAGTGTCCACTGAATAAAATTAGTATGCAGAGAATGTAAATTGAAGAGTCTGGTTTTAAAATTGGGCCCTGGCTATAGACATACATGGCTGCAATCTTCTGGTGGGCAAATCTGACAAGAGCATTATGCAAACAAATCTGTGCAGCTTTTGTGTGGAGCTTGCTTACACTACGCGATTTTCTAGATCAGATATCATGGAAGTACCTGATAAAAAGTATAGTCTGCATGGGAGCAACACCTAAGAGATGTGAGCAACAGGAAAGCTATTTTGAGAAGCTAAATCACAACCTGAGGCAATTTTTTGAACACATAAAAAATTTAGGCACAGACATGTCTGTGCTCTATATAAAGCACCAAAATTTAAGGGGAATCTCAGGTGATTTGAAATGCAGAGAGCAAAGACTACAGAGTACAGACAGACCTATTTACTCAGTGGGATGTGGGTTATAACAATACTTTCAAGAGAAGTTGCTTTCCTGCTTTAACCTATGAAAAGCACAGCATATCTACCTGTTCATGTGCTTGTTTGGATTCTAAGTCCATAAAACAATTTATGAAAAAGGCTCATGTAGTTAGGGCAGAAATTCAGCCGTTGCCATAAACTCATCACATTTCAGTCTCTTGTAATTTGAGACTAAAATTTACATTTTCTATTAAATTACAAGTTGCTGAAGTGTCGTGGCAGTTCTACACTGGAAAAAATCTGGCTGCATTCATTGGAGGTTAATGGTTAAGGCAGATAACTGTTAGCATCCTAGAGCTGGTCAGATATTTTGAAGCTGACTTGCTTGTGGTTACTCTCTTTGAAGGTAGATTCTTGCTGCATCTCAGCCAGATGTTGACACTGCAACAGCTCCATCTTATGCTGTTACAAATGTTCAGTTTCTCCTTGTGGCTTAACACAACTGGCAGCTAAAACCACCACTGTGGCATTCTCTTACTACTCCTTACCTGAATAGAAGGAGAAAACATGAAGACATTGGACAACAACAAAGAGTTTGCCCATCAATTACTTCCAGAGGCTGAATAGTCTCAGAATAGGGAGTTCAATGTATGCAATTTATTAGCTACTGACAGTACTCTAGACAAGTGAGAACTAAAAGCAAATAAAAACACCTTCCCCCTCCCTTCTCTTCTGCCTCCCGGACCTAAACTGTACAAGCGAGCTGTAGTCCACCTGTAATACTTGTCTCTGGCGCTCTGTAAGGGTCACAGTGGTCACTTCCCTCCTCTGCTCCATGTTGGTCCGTCCCATGGAATGCCGTTCTTACTGAGCTCTTCCTCAGCAGCCTTTCCATCCACAGCCTGCAGCTCTCCGAGCATGGCTCTGCATGAGCAGCAGCTCCCCCAGCCCTCTTCCTGCTTTCCCTTTTCCTCTCTCCCAGCTGCTCTTGCACAGCAGTTTATTTCTTAAATTTGCTCTCCCAGAGCACACGCAGCATGAATCACAGCTCAGCTCTGGCAATGGTGTGTCCCATTGGAGCAGGTGGAGCTGTGATCTGACATGGAGCAATTTTGGGCTCTGCTCACTGGGGCCCCCCTGCAGGGCTCCAATTACAAAACACAGTCCTCTATGTGTCTTGTAGTTCTATCCTAGAAATAATGGACATGCTGTCTCTTTGAAGTAGCGCTTAACGATGTAACAAGAATTAAAAACTTCAGCATGACTTACACCATAAAAGTTTTTCTCTGACAGTCAACCACAGCCCAACGCTTTTGCATTACAGTGAAGAAGAGGAAGACATTAATCTAATTTCTATTTTGTAATCACGCAATGGTGGAGAGAAAAAAAAAAAAAAAAAAGTTTTTTTTAAAAAGAAGTGAAACATAAGCATGAAACATGACCTACCATAATTTTTTTTCTGATATCACCTGTGTTGGTTTTAGTTATCCTTTGAATTTCAATGCAGACCTCATTAAATGGCAGTTTCTATGTTTCAGAGTTTTAGAATCTTCAACTGTTGTGACAAATACATACCAACTAGCTATTGCTCAGTCATAAAAGGTGGAGATAAAAGGTGAGAAGGACCCCATAAGTGAAAGTAAAAAGATAAGAAGACTTCACAGTGACTGAGAATAAGGGGGGTGAAGTGCAATAGTTAGAGATAGTTTATGGAAGCGAGAATGCAGAGCTTGTTAGAAAGTAAGAGATGGCAGACACTGGCTCTGAGATAGCGAGGGGGATGAAGGCCATACTATTAAGGTTTGAGAACAGCCCGAGACATTTAGCAGGGAGGTGATTATGTGTCCACAGGGCAAGAAGAAACTGCTTTGGGGGGATGCCCCCCGAAAGGCCAGGAGTTTACAGTGAGAAAGGTAAGGAGCCTTTGCGAGAAAAACAACAAATCTTCATCCCACGACCCACTACACATGTGCAAGAGGGGAGGGTCTGCGTGCTAACGAACTCTCAGGGGAGTAATGAATATGTATCTGAATTCTGGGAAAACTGTTGATTATGTATTTGTTTGGCCTACATCTGTAGCACAATTTTTCCTGATGGTAGGCAAGTCAGGTGGATCTATCCCCCTTGCACCCAGCGTCCGTGCAGCACTGAATAAACCATACCTGCTTTGTAATCTTACTTGCGTTACAGAGTTTGATTCCGCATGTCAGAGGGAATATCACAATTTGTTTAAGTGGACCAGTAATTGAGGTAAAATAGGTTATATTTCTTTGATTGTAGAATAATTAATTATATTGACTGAATAGGACACACAATGCTGTAGAGAGCTGTATATGTAAGAACAGGGAAGCCTCTCGATTAGAACCTTAGATATTTTATTAACAATCTGTGTTCAAGATATATATTACATACAGTAACTCCTGATAAGGTTTTTCTTTAAAAAAAAGGCAAGGGAAAGCAAGGGAAGGCAAGGCAGGAGAAGGCAAGGCAGGGGAAAGCAAGGCAGGGGAAGGCAGGGGAAGGCAAGGGGAGGCAAGGGGAGGCAAGGGAAGGCAGGGGAAGGCAAGGGGAGGCAAGGGGAGGCAAGGGGAGGCAAGGGAAGGGAAGGGAAGGGAAGGGAAGGGAAGGGAAGGGAAGGGAAGGGAAGGGAAGGGAAGGGAAGGGAAGGGAAGGGAAGGGAAGGGAAGGGAAGGGAAGGGAAGGGAAGGGAAGGGAAGGGAAGGGAAGGGAAGGGAAGGGAAGGGAAGGGAAGGGAAGGGAAGGGAAGGGAAGGGAAGGGAAGGGAAGGGAAGGGAAGGGAAGGGAAGGGAAGGGAAGGGAAGGGAAGGGAAGGGAAGGGAAGGGAAGGGAAGGGAAGGGACAACAAAGTACTTTAAAATATTTTCTGATTTTCAGTATTATGGATAGCAAAAATCTCCTAATGAGAAATTTGAAAAGAGACTGCAGATATTTTTTCATTAACTGTTAGTGGCAATGAACCTGGTAATGAAAACTAAAATGTCACCTGGTATGTCCAGTAGATTTCTCAGATGAAATGTTCATTCACATTCTTCTGCCTTTTGTCAGAGCTGTGTAATGAGATAGATACACCTTAGATATAGGAAGAACAGATTTGCAGCCAAATCCAAAAAGAATGTGAACACAAAGTCTGTCTAAATCCTGTTCTTGGCATCTAAGCAAACAGAGGCCCTTAGCTCAGGTAAGGCCTGCCCTGACTCCTTAAGGTGGGCTGCACTCCCTCAGTGTGGCCATCACAGCCTTTCAGATACTGCTGCTATAGTAGAATTCAGTGATAATAGGACAGGCTAAATCTTTAGCAAGTGTTCACAAGGCAGTGTTCTCCTCATTCACAAAAAAAAAACAGCCTTTACAGTGTTGTTCCAAAAGAACTCTGGCAGCTTTTAAGTGAGAGGTTCTTATTTCTTTTTTCATTCTTTTTAATTGAGAGCTACTTTAGCTTATAATTCCATAGGGGTGTAAAACACGGACAACTGATTCTTGTGTACTGTATGCTGAACAGTTATTTTCCATGATGCATTACAGACACATTTCATGTCCTTATGTATTTGCTAAAAGTGATAGAATCATAGAACAGCTTGGGATGGAAAAGACCTCAGAGATCACCCAGTTCCAACCCCCTGCCATGGGCAGGGCTACCCAAACCACCTCATGCTGCCCAGGGCCATCCAGCCTGGCTTTGAATGCCTGCAGAAACAGGGCACCCACAGCTGCTCTGGACAGTCTGTGACAGTGCCTCACCACCCTCTGAGTGGAACATTTCCTTGTAATATCTAACCTAAATCAACCCTCTCTTAGTTCAAGGCATTTTCCCTTGTTCTATCACTATTGCACCATATTAAAAGTCGGTCTCTCTCCTGTTAAGCTCCTCTCCTTATAAGCTTCTTTTAAGTTCTGGAAAGCCACTATGAAGTCTCCCCATATCCTTCTCTTCTTCAGAGTGAACAACTCGAGCTCTGTCAGCCTTTCGTAATAAGAAACATCTAATCATCTTTATAGCCCTCCTCTGAACCCAATTCAATTAGAGTTTTACGGTTCATCCCATCATGTTTCTGTGATAACAGTTAGATCATAGTTTTCTAATTGCAGCATGGTTTCCAGCTCCTTCTGCTTATTTCCATTCATTGGTGTAAAGGCACTTCAGGTGGGCTATTGACCGTTCTGGAGGAGTGTTCTCAAATTCCTTGAGACACATCCGAGCTTTTTGCCTGCTGCTTTTTAAAGTGACAGCATTCCTAGTCACATAGAAGTTGATTCCCTTCTCCCATTAAATCTAGTTTAAAGTTCTGGTGATCAGCCCAGTCAGCTTGCTGCCCGAA